TGGCCCTGTGGTAGAACTCCGGATTACAGATCTTGTGAGCCGATTTCCAATCCATATGATACTAAAAAGATTCTTCCGCAACATCTAATTGTGGGTGCGTTATAAGAGTACAAGTCAATCCCTTAGCGTATTCCCCTCCGGCGGTTCAGCGGTAACTATGTGAGCTTAAAACACTAAAAATCGGATTCGATACCCGCGTTAGGCAAAGAATAGATAACCTATTATGTAGCTCTGTGATCAAGAACAAAGCAAACACACAGAACTTTAGTGTGGGTTTGTAGAGTACTGCTTTCCCATTGGTCAGTAGCTTAAAATTTCGACGGTGACAGGTATCGACTTAGGAGTTTTACCATAAATTCAAGTTGCAAATAGAGTATCATATTTAAGTGAGTTGTCATAATTCTGTATTATAGAATATTGTATACCTCCAGAATCCTTTGTCTCCTATCGTCAGTCCGGAACATCACACAAACCTACATACACAGAGGTATAGACAGAAAAACACGCATGCTCACTTATAAAATCACATTCTTACACAGACAGGTTTAAAGCAACGTGATAGATAGAAATAGATATAAATACAAACTTACCTACATATTTCTGCAAAGTGTAATCCAATATAATCCAGTATAAATTTAAATACCGCCAATTCAAGGCATTTCTCGAGTATCACTAATGCTAAATCATGCATAAAACGGCAAAGAAGACACGTTGAGAATGAATGACGAAAGATAGAAATGGAAATTTCCCAAAAGTATTCAGTATAGAAAAACACATCCTTCTCCAAAATTTTAAGTCTCTCATTGCCAAGAAAGTTGATCAGCCAACTCTGTTTTATCACATTAGATTATACTTTCTGATATTTTGTGATTTTGATTTTATGTATTTGTTTTCACCGGCTCAATCACTCTGATGTGAATTTTTAAACTGTGGATCATCGAAGTTTCAAAATGACAGCTGTTTTAGTGTTTTGTTATTCCAGAAGAAACCGAAGTTTCAAAATGACAGCTGTTTTAGTGTTTTGTTATTCCAGAAGAAACCGAAGTTTCAAAATGACAGCTGTTTTAGTGTTTTGTTATTCCAGAAGAAACCGAAGTTTCAAAATGACAGCTGTTGAGAGTTTTGGTGTTTTCGTTATTCCAGAAGAAACCGAAGTTTCAAAATGACAGCTGTTTAGAGTTTTAGTGTTTTCTGATTCGAGAACAAATCGAAGTTTTCACAACATCGTTAACAGCAAGGGTAACCAACTAATGAAACAGTGCATTCTAATCTTTATAAGCAAGAGCTCAATAAAAGTATGTTGAATTTCAGTTTTTCTCTAAGGATGGAGAATGTTCTGATCAGAAGTTAATATTAATTTCCGAATATGCTATTGAGAGTGAGAGATCTAGTGGTTTACAATTTCAGAACAAACTGAGGTTTCATGTTGCCGAATGCTGCTGTTGACAGTTCTGGTGATTTGTGGTTGCAGAACAAACCGAAGTTTCACACTGCTAAATATTTTCTGTTCAGTGTGAGAGCTCTAGTGGTTTACAATTACAAAACAAATCGGAGTTTCACACTGCTAAATATTGCTGTTCAGAGTGGGAGTCTTAGTGGTTTACAGTTACAGAACAAACCGTAGTTTTACACTGCCGAATGTCACACAGCTACATATGTCTGAGGTTATGTTGATAAAGCTGAATGGGCACTTGACACTCGCTCTGCTGATCAAATATATATTTATTTTCCTCTCCCTCTCAACAAAACCTATATGATAAGGTTTAAGACCGAAGCGTGGCACAAAGGATTTCTGAGGAGCTAAATAAAATTTTCGTTTATGGAAGCAGGTTAAGCGGTTGGTAGAAAACAACAACAAAAGTTATGACTATTGCCTTGTTGCATTTTACGTGAAAGTAATCGCATTTAAAGAATTGAATTAAGAAATTAAAGAGATATATAAATAAAACATAAAGTTAGACTAGCGCATATATGTAAGTGTGCTCGTAGAGATTCATCATATATGTGTGTACAAATATGCACTTTGAGATTATACAAATAAATAAATATATAAATATATTGATTCACGCTTTGCGTTTTAAGAATGTTTTTATTTTAGATTTTGACATTTCTGAAGTATGACTAGTTTTGAAAACAAAACTGATGCAAACTACATAGGTCTGTTGGTTGAGACGCTCGACTCGCAATCCCCGTCCCACCAAACATGCTCGCCCTTTCAACCTTGGGGAAGTTATAATCCCTCGGTTAATTTCACTCTGCGTTGATAAAAGAGCAGCCAAAGAGTTGGCGGTGGGTAGTGTCGACTAGCAGTCTTCCCTCTTATCTATCACTGCTAAATTAGGGACATCTAGCGCAGATAGACCTCGTTTAGCTTTTGGCGAAATTCAAAAACAAACAAACAAAGCAAACTACATATAAGGTCTATTTTGGAAATGTTAGCACACCAACTGTTGTCTCTGTCTGTTTAAATTACTTGCTAAGCCTAACTTATTGTAATAAAATTCACATTAAGGATTTTCTTAGACTATCGCAACCAAACGAATAGCGTTACCAATTAAAATGGCAAAGATCGTGTAGAATTTCAAGTCACCATCTACACTATCTAGCAAAACTTTTGTAAGCAGATCATATAACATAGATAACTTTTTTATGGTTGTTTTTATTAGTATTAAATAACTTCACGTATATGTGTTGGTTTTTAACCCTGAGTCATATGAAACAAATGATGTTGGAGAAATCTTACACTGTCGCGCCGGAAGAATTCTCTCATCGCCGCTAGCGTATACTGTAATGGACTCGTATACGGTAAGGAAGGATAATCGCAAGTCGATGGATGCTTTCCAATGTTACATAATTATTTTCCCACACATAGAACAATTTGAACATAGTGAAGCTAAGAGTATTTAGTAATCTATTCAACTAGTAGAAAATAACGGTCAGTCTTTCTGAATATCTTTATTAATTGTACAGGTGTTAAACTTAAAAACTTGAATGCCACAAAGAACCCTACATATCCATCTTTATTTATGAACATATCATTCTATACATACACATGCAAATAGTGAGACTAGCCTAGTGTTTAGGGAGCTGTGCTATGTAGACGAGAGTCCATGGTTCGCGTCCCTTTAGCACAAAATCGCGCTGCGCACTTTGGAGTCATGGGCGTATTATAAAAACGATTGTTAAATCCCACTATTTAATAAGAGTAACGCAAGAATTGGCGGTAGATGCCGTTGACTAGCTAGTTGCTTACCTTCTATTCTTTCAGTTCAACATTAAGGACGGTTAGTAAAGAGAGCGTTAGTGTTGCTTTACTCAAGTATATGAAACAAGCAATCAAATAAAAGTGAGATATATGATTTTTTTCCTGCATTAGAAAACAAAACTAAGCATTTTTTTTGTATCTGTAAATGGGTCCACGCTCCTAGAAAAGGGATCTCTACACATTTGTGTCATCTAAATTATTTACTTTCAAGATCAAATAACTTAGCTGGCAAAGAACGGTTATTTCAAAGCAGAAACTCATAGGAGTATATTAATTCGGGTCGTCATGCTTGATCTAATCGAACTAAACATGATCTAATATCGCTGTGGTATTCTATAAATAGAAAAGAGTTACCCTAGAACAAAAATTATTTCAGGAAATACGGAAAATACTTCATTTTCAAAAGAAAATATTTTTTTTTAATCCATAAGCCAATAGTATGCCCAAAAGAATTTTTGATATATTTTCCTCTGTTTCAACGTAAACACTATAGAGTATAATATAATTTCAAATAATGATAACTTCTAATCACTTAGATATGCACTTAGAAAGAAACTAAAAATTAACCTGGTTATCAGTACAACTGATTAATTACCTGTTGTTTTTTGTTTTTGTTTTTTTTTTGCATTTCTACTTATGTACATTGTAATACATTGTTTCATCAATTGAGTACCCTTGCTGTTAACGATATTTTTGGCCGTAATCCCAATAATATCTCCTGACATTCGACCAATTTAGGAGATTTAGACTAGTCCTAAATAAATATTTTAAGCTAATTATTCAAAAGAATCTTTATAATAACAGTATTATAATAATAATAACCAATGCTGTTGGTAAAAGTAACAATAAGTAAATAATATAGTTATACCTCACTTGGGGAATCTATATAAATATACAGGTTTAAATAATATAGTTATACCTCACTTGGGGAATCTGTATAAATATACAGGTTTAAAATAATACTTTTGCAGCTTAAGTCTTTCTCATCAACTTTCCTATGCATGGATCAAAGTAATGAAAAGAAAAAGAAACAGCTTAAAGTTATACCGTTGAAACATACAAAAAGAGACGAAAACTTAAAGATACTTTTTAGAAGCATTTTGAAAGCAATTAATCAAAATCTCAAATTCGAATTCAGAGAACAATTAAACTTCCTACTAAAATACTGTTCACAAAAACAACAACTCTTTCTTCCTGTACTTCCTGGTGACTCAACGGTAAGTTTGGGGGCTTATAAATCTAAAATTTGGGGTGTGATCACTATGATGGGCACAGCGTAATTAGCCCATGTTTGGTTTTGCGCTTAAAAACAAAATGAGCAAACATTCTTTCCAAGTTTGAAGAGTTTATTTGTTTGTTTTG